ATATATATACACACACACACACATTCCTCTCCCGCCCTCTAGCTATTGTTCTGGCTCATTTGTGCTTTCTTTTCTGTTAAATAATGTATGGGCCTGGAGGACCGGGGGCCAGGCTAGAGATGCATATTGCAGTTTCATAACATCTTAAGTGCTTGTGTTAATTTTTCACTCCTTCCTCCTCTTTCCTCTCAACCTGCCATCTCCCATCGCGCAAGGGGGAGGGAGATAATCAAGTTTCCCCGAACTTGGCCTGAAGTCAGATGTGATTTGATTTGGGTTGCAGGACAGCCCGGGGAAGTGGCTGGGAGGCAACTTGGAGGGTTGGACTCTGTTTCTGGACTTGCAGGAGAGAAACCCTGACGCTGTGTGCTCGCGTTGCCGTGGCTGGGGGTGATCTCCGGGCTGTCTCAGCAGCCGGGAAGCCTGTAAGGTTTCTGCTCGTGAAGGATAACCACATCTGTCCAAAAGCTGCAGTGCTCCTGCAGGGGAAAAGAAGGCTTTTGCTTTTCTTTTTCTGAACAGCTTAAAAAAAAACAGCACTGACTGGATCCAAGTGAAAAATTAGTGAAAATAAGACCCGTGTCAGATTTCTCCCCGCCATGATAAATTCGACTTCTGCTGTTGACCAGTGGGAAAGATTAGAAATTACGTGGGCTTGGGGATGGGAAAAGAAAATAAAGTAGGTGCTTTTTTTTCCCCTTTCTTTTTTTTTTTAAGACAAACACTTAAAAAATTTCATTTGGAAATAGAGAAAATACCCGATTGAAAAAAAAAAAAAAAAAGAAGAAAAGGAAAAAAAGGCTTTTCTGACTTACCCATTTTGATCAGCTCTTCCAATTTCTGAAGATGCATACACCAGTGTCATCTAATTCCCTGTGATCTGCCTCTGCCTTTTCAGGTGTATTGATCTGCTCTAGTTTACGAAGCTCCCGACTATTGGAAAGAAGAGTTTATAAATAACTACAGAGAATGAGGACTCTGTATCACAGGAGTTCCAGCTGTGCTGCTTTTGTTTATCACGCAACACACATTTTTTTGTTTGGAGCTTTTCTTAACCAGGAGGTTGCAAAAGGAAGCTCAGCATGCCAATGTCACTGGGAATCGTTGTGTTGTATTGTACTGTGCAAACGGTGTTTGCTCCCTCTTGGGATGGAGAGGTTTCTGGGTTTGTTTTTTGTAGATAAGATATAAACTCAGTAGTGGTTCTGCTAGTAAATACAAGTAGCCCCAAGCTCCAGGATGCATCTTGTTGGTCCCTCCAGTAATTTGACAAAGTATCCTTCCAGCAACCTCCTGAAAGTACAACAGGAACAATTTTGTTGATCCTTCAGGATCTGGAGTAGTTGTGGGAAGGGATGTTGGGCTCCATCAGTGACTCTGCACAGTGGCCACTGCCCTGCCAGCATCGGTGTGGGTTTTGGCTGTCTCACCTGTGTTCAGGAGTGGCCAAACCCAGGAACTACATGTGGTACCAGGAGGGTGAGAAATGAAGCTGTTTCTCTAAAATTGCCCCTGCTGGAGGTGTGAATACCTTTCTTGGGAGGGGTATAGGAAACCTCAAAAGGACTGTGATCAAAGGAGGAGCTTCCAAGTAAAGGGAGATGATTCAGATTGAGAGGTGTTTGTTGAGTAGAGGGGCAGATGGGGATGAGTAAAGAGGAGAGGGGGATGATCAAGCCATATACAGTCCAGAGAGGAGTAGAAGAGGTGGCATGGGTGGATTTGGATTACGAGGGTTACCCAGTGGACTCATTAAACAGAAGGTTTAAAGAAAATGAGGGGAAGTCCATTTTCCTGACATGCTTAAGTACATATGTATTCCATCACCACATCCTCCTGTGGGGTCTAAAAGGGGAAATCAGAGGAGAAGCAGGACTAGATCACCGTGGAAGGCAGATCTGGATGTAGCCAAAGGGTTTGTAACAAGAAGAGGGCCACAGATATCCCATCCCTCATTTCCTTTTCCCTCCCTCCTCTCAGCAAGGCTGTTGCCATGTTTTTGTGCCCACTGTGTCCCCTTGTGATGACTCACGGGCTCGGGGACTGGGAGCTGGAGGATGTGGTTTGACTGACACACTTTCTTTCCTCAGGAATGGATGTCCCCAGCGTCTTCCCCCAGCACCTCAGACTGGAGCCACGAGGGAGCGCAGGGCAGGTGACGAAGGAAGGGCGATGATGCTGGGCTACATCGTGATTCCCACCAGAAACATCCACGTGGAGGACACCACCAGCCCCTGGGGCTGAGGCAGTGACCTCGAGAGGTAAGAGCCAGGTGTGTGAGCGTCATCCCAGCTCTGAGTTGTGAGGCTGGTGTGTGGTGGCTGGGCCAGGGGAGGCAGATCCTTTCCACCCCTCGTTTGGGCACTGTTTGAGTTGGGCTGCTGCAGTCGGGCGGTGCGGCTGTGGGGTCTTACTCAGAAGGCTTTGTCAGCAGTGCACACATGTTAATGGTGTTTGAGGAGTCATTTCTGTGGGAGACCTGAGAGCCAGACAGCTCTGCAAATCAGCCCATTAGGATTTTTAAAAGAAAATCTCCATCCTATAGGAACTGCTGGCCTCTGGAGACATGCTAGAACTGTATCCCAGACTGCACCACATCTGCTTCTATTAGATCTTTCCCTCTCTCCTTTCATCTACCCCTTTTCCTTCCCTCCTGGCTACAGCTTTCTATTGCTGTCCTATCCAAAACACTCTTTAGCTATTGCTTTGGAAGTTTGCACAAGGATATGTTGGCGTTTACTTTTTCTCCCCCCCCCCCTTCCTTACTCTTTTTGGAGCTAATCACCCTGGCGAAATTGAGCTGTAATTCAGTTGGCAGTGGTCAGATTGAGCTGAACATGTGGGCTCCAGCACATCCCCAGATTCTTTGCATCAACAGAAATGAGCACAGACAGGCACAGAGCGAGGGAGAGATCGCGTGGCCTTGTTTAAAACACACTCGCGCAGCAGCGTCAGCTGCCTGAACAAAAGCTGCCTGTCTCCTCCTCGGAGGTGGGTGAAGGAAGAGGTTATTGGGCTTGATGTGCACGGAGAGAGGGGGAGATGGCGTTCTCCCCCCTCCTCCCCCTGCCATCTGCAGCTGTGTGGCAGGTAGGGCTTGGTTTGGTAGGGAGGATTTATAGCTGTCGTGAGTCAGTCAGTGTGTCGGGCTAAATCAAGCCTGACGTTTTTAACATCTTCCCCACACAAAGCGAGGGGGGGGCAAGGGGGAATGGAGGAAGTAATTGTAATTTTATGTCTATATCCTGCTCGACTAATCAAGGTGAGCAAGAGACATGCCAGCCAGGGGAGATTTGCCTCTTGTTAGCATGAATGTGTCTTTGCTTTGGCTTCCCCCTTCCTTTCCTGGGCTACCAATCTCCTCTGTCAGGAAAGAAAGATCCAGCTGATCGATGCTAGAGGCTGGTAGACAAATGATTCTTGCTCCTCTAGACTGTCTTTTGTAGTATGTCTCTAATTAGGTAAGTGAAAACTCATGGCAAAACACATTTTGGTAGAGTTTTGCCTACCTTTGATGCTGTGTCCTACCTCCTCACTCCTATTGAGACCCCAAACCCTGATGGCAGTGCTGTAGAGTACCATATGTAGTGTTCCTGCCCTTCTCAAGAACACCTTGCTCAGGTTGGACAGGCTATGGCGAGAAGGAATATCTGCATCATACCTGGAAGGTAATTCCAGGGGATTTCCAGCAGCAGCATGGAAGAGTTTAAGGAAGAGCTGTCTTGGTATGCCTCTTGTCTTGCCTCAGGCAGGTGTGCTGCTGCAAAGCCTCCCTGTGCCTCTTACCTCACTGCCAGCACAGGCTGCCTGCTCCCATACCAGGTGGGCTAATTCCCTCTGGTGAGCAAGGAGATGGAAAGGAGGCAAAACAGATACCTAAGTAGGTGCCACCTTCCTACGCCACAATCCAGAGTGTTGGTGTAATATATTGGGAGAATCCTGGTTTGAATACTGGGATTAACAGAATGCTCTCCCTTTTGCCAGAATTGATGTTCCAGAGTAGGCTGGAATACCTCGTGGCAGGGGAAAGGGTCTCTCCCCAGGGAAGGACCTGGGCAGCTTCAGTGCTGTCTGCCAGCCCACGGCACAGGTTGTCCTGGAGGTGAGTGAGGCAGATCACGCGAAGTCCTGAGCTGGAGCTGTTGGGCAGCGCTAAAACCTGCACGCTGGGTCCATGTGCCATCTAGGCAGGGCAGCATCATTAAAATTCCTTGTGTGCACAGAAGTGGACTAAGTCATCAGCACAGGGCAGGGAGCCTCCAAGTTCCGTGGGCTTGTGCTGATTTACACCAGCTGGGGAACTGGGCCAAATCTGTCTCGTTCGGTGAATGATCATTCAATTTTTCTCTCTGCTATCAAGCCCTTAAACAAAAGCCAATTGAAATCAATGGGAGACTTTCATCATTTTCAGGGTTATAGGCCTAAAAAAATTGGATGCTGGGGGAAAAAGCAGGCAGGGGAAGAGAAGGGGAAGGAGGAATAAACGCTGCTGTAACATTATGGCTTAAAACGGAAACAGATGGAAGTGAGAAATGCTTTCGTTACGATTCTCCAGCAGCATCAATTCAGCAAAGCTGTACATGGAGATGTGAACACTGCAGAGCATCCTTCCTTATGTAAACAGCTCTATGGGTGCAAAGGGAGCCCGTCCCTCTGTGAATCCTGTCTCTGCGTGTCCTATTTCTATATGTGATTAAGTTCTCTGCTCTTCCTTTGCAGTTAGGGTTGTTATTAGTGGTAAGCACATGCTCCACAGGCTGGCTGTTCCTCACAGAAATGCAGGAAGAAGCGCTGCCTTCTGCTCCCAGAAACCAGCACGATTTTTTTTTTTTTTTGGTTTTTTTTTTGCCGTAGCTGGAAGAGGGGGAGGTTAATATCTCACCAGCCTCTGGCTGTGTTTTGATAAAATCCTTTGTCCAATGACTGCAAAGCTTTTTGCACGTACAGCGGGGTAAAGCCCCTTCAGACAGGTATTATCTGGCCTATTTTTACAGCTGAGAATTTGCAGCCTTCGGAGCCATCTGAAGGCGCTGCCTTCACCTTGTGATCTCCTCGGCTGAATGAATATGTCAGGATCGGTCCTTTCAAACCCGGCCCCAGTTCGAACACAGCCCTGCAGTCCGTCTGGGCACGGTTAGATCCTTCCTCCCTCAGCCTCCCCCTCCGTATCACAGGTATGACAATGATCCTTTCCCCCCCGGGTAAACATTTCATTATGCGGTGCCGCCCGAAGTGCCTCGCAGGAGAGAGGACCTACAGATAAGTCTGCATTCTCATTTTGGCTGTATTTGTGTGCGTGTTTTCTGCTTTAGCTGCTCGTCTCTTTCTTTGCCTGCTCATTAGTTCTGCCTGAGTGCAGGACCTCTCCAAAAAATGCAGTGTTGGCAGCGGGCATGAATTCTTAACGACCGCTGTCTCTAATGACAGAATCCGGGGCCAGGCAGTCAGTTCGCTTGCTGGGAGAAAGGAGAGGCAGATGAGACAGTGGCTCTTCCCCTCATCGTGGGGTGAGTCTGCAAAATCACAGGAGGATCTGCAAAATATGCTCAGGTCTTGGCCTGCTTCTCATGCTGCAAGGAGAATTGCTTGGGATGGCAGACGGAAAGAGATGCCTCTCAGGCTGTCGAATTTGTTTTTAAAGCTCACTCTGGCCTCGCTCTGCTGTTCTACCCAAGCAATCAACAACAGATTTTGGCTTTTGAGCCAAAGCTGAAAATCTCGAGCCTGACTTGCCCAGTGCCCTTTCGTGCGGTCCAACTTAATGCAGAGGGAAGTAAAACCGGGGGGGAAAAAACCCACACAAAACAACACAACAATCAATTCAAAGGGAAAATAATGCCAAGGGTTTGATTTTTAGCAAACAAGAGAAGGACTTCTCCTAATGAGGAGCTTAAAATTTATTTTTAGCAGTGTTTTTGTTGCCTTTCATTCCTATTCTGTCCTTGATTCAAAGTTTCCTCGACTTTTTTTTTTTTTTTTTGCAAATGCAGCTTTTAACATAAGTTAGCTTTTCTCTTCACTTTATTTTTCCTTTAGAGAAGAAGGAAGTCTTGGCAAGTTATAAGAGGCAGAGGAAGGGAAAGGCATGTGAATCCTGCCTGGGTGCCATTCTTTCTTTTTCATTTAATGTCAGGAATAGGAAGCAAGAAAGAAGAAAAAAAAAAATGCCAAGAGTTCTTTGAGTCTTGATCCTTAAAAGTGAAACCAAGGAAAACTAAATTTTGTAGTGGAGGTGAAATGCTGAATTTTCAGTTTGGTGGATTTACCCTGCAATGTCGCCTGGTGGAATTGTTTTGTTTCTGGTGAAATCTCAGTATGCGCTGAGAAAATGTCAAGTTAATTCTGTGCTGTCCAATCCCTCTTAAACGCTCTGGTTGTTTCTCTCAGCTTGTCCTGGTTTCTACTTTCCACCTCCATCCTTGCTGATGCCTTTTCCCACTCCTACTCTGTTATATTAAAACTGCCACAAGAAGACAGCTGAAATGCCCAGGAGGTGTTTCCTTCCTGGATGGACTAGTTGGGGTTGAGACCTTTGTGATTCCCAGGGCTGTTATCTCAAGCTGCCTTCCACTTCACACACTGTTGCTGGAAAGTTCTCATTGTTCAGCTCAGGGTACCTCTCTCCACTTGTTATATATGGAAGGGCAGATTCTGGCACTGGGATATTCCACGTGGCCCTTGGAAGTTGGTCAGGTAGACTGGATCCCTTCCTGTGGCTTTGCCATGATTGAAGCTCAGCTTCCTTGGTGGCTTACTGTTCCTTGTAGCTCAGATCAGTTAAATAAATAAGTAGATAAATAAAAATAATGGGATCCATTTGGGGAATCTCCAGAACCACAGGTAGATCTTTGATTTGGAGGAAAGAGAAAGCCGGGAGGTGTCTTGCCCAAGGATTTTGCCTTCTCTCTCAGTCCCTTCTGTGCCCATGGGCCCAGGGAGATGAACTGGTGTTCAGCCTCGTTCTGATAGACAAGAGCACACTGAAACACCAGTGTCTTGTACCTCTACTGATGGTCCCGGCAGAGTTGCCTGAAAATCAGAGGATCTCTGCAATCTGAAGCTCTCTTCAGAGCACTGGGAAAGCTTCTTGTACCTGAAGTCTGTGATGTGACTGTGGAGACATGAATTGCCCATCCCTGGACCAGAATGTTCTGCAGAAACGTGAAGCCATCGCCTTTTGTGGCACCCCTGATGCTCCAGACCAGCTTTGGGATGAAATACCCAACATCCATTTGTAACGAGGTCTCTGGGGATCCCTCCTCCGTGTCTTCCTGGCAGGCAGTTCCCTTCTTCTCCGTGTACCTCCAGCCCCTCGAGCAGATATGTTGATTCCACCTTCCTCCTGTTCTGGAGGGCAGGTTTTGCAATGCTGTCATAATTATTCACCAGCTGTGATTGGAGCCCACGCTCAGAAACGCTATTTGCATCCAGGGAGGATCTGATTATAATTGTCACGGGGAAGTTTGTTTGAGGCTGATCCTCCGTCAGCCTGAAGTTTCTTGGCGATGCTCCTTGGGCAGGAGAACTGTGCAGGCAGAGGGTCCAGAGAAGGGTAATGAAAGGGACTGGGACTGTCAGGTTTGGGGATGGAAATTGCTTTTTCTTCAGAGAAGACGGATGTGGTAGGACTGCTCAGCTGGAGAAGGAGCAGAGCAGCAGAAACTGGAATTACCTGACTGATCTTCAGGGTACCACTGTCTTCTCCACTTGAAAGGCTTGAGAAGGAGGCATGTTATGTTCAGGGTGGTTGATTTAAATCACCCATTTTAATCATGAATTAAATCAGCAAGCAGGAAATCTTGATTTAAAAACCACGTTTTAATCTTGTATTTTAAAGTTCATTTCCTAATGAAACCTGGCTTCTCATTGGTTGGCATAATTCGGTACTATTTTTGGCAAAGCAAAAGGGGACGCGACACCCATGCATATTTATTGGCATAACTGTATAGCTTAACATATATCTGTTCTCACTTTTACATCTTTTTATTACACTGAAGAAATGGAAAACATGTAATTTCTGATTTATTAGCCACGGCTTCGTTTTTTCCACTTGTCTCCAGCTATACGAGAACAAAAATTAAAATGCAATTAAAAATGCATGAAGGAGGCAGTTAGAAAGTTTGTTGTTGGTATCACAGAGGGCTGGAACGAGCCTCTGCAGATAATCTACTCCGTGTGTTGGCATTGAGGAAAGATCAATTACCCCTCTCCCCCCACACAGGTGTTTGTTTAACCTTTACGCAGAAGTCTCTGGTGAAAAGTTCTGCAGCTTCCCTGTATCTGTGCTAGGGAGAAAGTTTTTAGTTCTTTTCATTTTTATTTATTTTTTTTTTAAATGTCTAAACTTAAGCTTTCTTTGCTCCGAGTTAAATTGTTTCTTCTTCTGCCACTGAACACAGAGAACAATCGACTGCTGTCTTAATAACCTGCAAGCTACTGGAGGATTGTTATGCCTCTGTGCCTTAGTCTTCTCCTTTTTTTTTTTTTTTTTTTTTTTTTTTTTTTTTTTTTTTTTTTTTTTTTTTTTTTTTTTTTTTTTTTTTTTTTTTTTTTTTTTTTTTTTTTTTTTTTCCCAGGCTGAATGAACCTAGTTCATTTAACCTTTCCTTGCCAGCTCTTCCTAGAGCTGTGATGGTTTAATTTCTTCTCCTCCGGACTGCCTCCTGCTTTTTCATCTCGCTCTGCATCTGCAGTGAAATGACTTTGGGGGTGTTGCAAGAGGAGAAATTGCTTGCCGTGCCACAGACTGTGGAACTCATTGCTATGGGATACTGTGGATGCTGAAGTTTTAATGGGTTTGGAAAGAGTTTTAGCAAAGTAGTGAAAGGTGTTCCTAAGCTGTGCATTGCAGAAAGGCCTTGGTAGATAGGGATAAGCAAAGGGTAAAATGCTGCTGCTCCGTCTTAAGGTTTCATTGCCCGTTTTGGGGTGCCACAGCGCTACAGGGGGTTGCACTGCCACCAGTGCACTGCTCTGCATCCATGTCATGCTGTTGTGATGTCCTGGGAGCTTGTTCCACTGCTCTGCTTCAGAGAAGTACTGGGATGTGCCCCTGTCCTCCCCCAGAGCTCCTCTTTCCAGGCTTCCCAGCCTCTGCCCTCCAGCCAGCTGGAAAAACGGGGGCCAGCTCTGACTCGAGCGCGCTGGGAATCAGAGCCCCAGAAAAACCCGGATGGCAGCAGGGGGTGTATGAGTTTCCTGGGATTTGAATGTTAACTAGATGCTTTTTGAGTAATGTTCTGCTCCTTTCCCACGGCAAACACGGGTGTGGGGTGGTGCTGGTGGCTTTGCCGGAGCACTGCGGTGGTTAACGCTGTCCCAGCCACTCCGGGCTGGTGTTGTAAACAGCCCTCGGGAAGCAACATCTCTCCCTTCCCCTGAATGTGCTGGATTCGACAGCTCTCCTTTCATCTGCTCAGAAAGTGCTGAAGTGTTTCTTGCTGCTCTTCAAAAGCAATTCTGCACTGCCCAGAGGGGGCTGCGATTCACGTGGGGAGCCAGGAGGAGATGATGCTCCTCGTCTCATCAGATGTGTGTAAACCACACAACTTCTGGCTTCAGCTTCTGAGAGAGGTGTAAATGTGAGGATGGAAAGGTGGTGGCAAGGACTCTGTGGGTCATCGGCAAGGTGTAGGGTGCCCCGGGAAGCCACCAGTTCTGGAAAGGCAAGATTTGAGGAGAGCACTGCTCAGCCCTGTAGCATCTCCAAGGGTCTTCAAAAACACAGTTGGAGTCTTTGACTCTCCTGTTTGCTGAGCCCTCATGGTGCTCTGTGGTTTTCACAAGAACACCCTGTTACTGAATGTCTTTAGATGACAGTGCCTCTTTGCTCCCATCTATTCTTGGATTTCCAAATGCCTTTTTCCTTTTCAGTTTACCTTGTGGAGGGGAGCACTTTCTAGAAACACCCTGCTTGAGTTTCACTCTGCTGAGGCCGCTGGAGCACAGCAGGGATGGGGTAGGTCCACCGTTCCTTGGGGGAGAATGAGGCCACTTCAGCATCTATGGGGAAAGCTGAGATGTGGCTGCTGGTGGGCCTGGAATCATAAAATCATAGAATCCTGGAATGGTTCAAGTGGGAGGGGACCTTCCAGATCATCTTGTTCTGACCCCAGCCAAGGGCAGAAACACCTAGGATGGGCAAAGCAATAAATTGCTCATCATCTCCCAGGTG